AAGAAATGTTTTTCGTTGGTATTAGCGCATCACTTGACGACAGCTGGAAATTTCGCTAATTTGATATTTAAAATGATTGTCATAGTTCGAGTTAGGTTTTTAGGGAGAAAAATTGGTAAAGTATCAAAAAAACTAATTGAAAATAAACGAAAGCGACGTTCAAATTAAAGCATACAAAATCGTTTCCCGGGTCACCTTATTATTATTATATACAATCCTACTAATATTATAAATGTGAAAGTTTATGAGGATATATGGATCTCTGGATGTATGAATGTATGGATAGAGGTATGGATGTTTGTTACGCAAAAACTACGAATGGATTTTTATAACACTTTACAACAAAATATAGGTATCCACTTTATAATAATACTCGTACATCAGAATAACACATAGGCTACTTTTTATCTCGGAAAAATGTACGTGTCCCGCGAATATGTAAAGATTTACTCCATTTAGAAAAAAACTGGTCGTTTTTGTCGAACTCGTATTTGCTATAAATAAAAATCATATTATACTGATATATATTAAATTATAAAGGAAAATTATAAGATAATAGCAACTTGATTTACTTATTGTAGTTGGTCATTAAGGTACCTATTCTAGTCTCAATTATGCATTAGCTCCTTATATTTTAGTGAAAAGTATTTTATTACATTCTTTAGTAGGTATATTATCATTGTGGACCCAACAAAAGACCTTCTTTTTTACAGTTTTTAAAATACAAATATGTATTTCTAAGCCTACAATCTCATTTTTAGCCTTAACCTATGAGAATAGTAATAAAAAAATATAACAGTAAATTTGGCATTCAAAACGGCACCTACCATTTTACGTTTAATTAAAAAATGTTCAATTAAGTAGAGGATATTGAAGTTGCTAGCTATATTGTTAATTGTTATTGAAATCTTGATACAATAGTGTTTTGGGTTACTTTGTCATTTACAGGAATTCGGAATTATAGGCTAAGAATCTACGATGGTCGGACATAAAATATTTTTATGTTTAGATTTTTACCGCTACATTAATCTATGGATTTTACACGCACGTTAGATATATATATATATATATATATATATATATATATATATATCTCTGTTGTAAATTTTAAATTAACGACTTAATTGGCGTGTTTGCACATTCCGAATCGATAAGTAAAATCCTTTCTCTTTTTTGCCTCACCATTGTATTTTCCAATCAATTTAATTTTTGCTAAAATTTAATTGTTTACATTTAAGGAATGCGAAATAATTATGGTCTTTTAGGTATCCGGATGTATCTTTGGGTCTTTTCAACCGACTTCAAAAAGGAGGAGGTTCTCAATTCGACTGTATGTTTTTTTATGTTTGTTACCTCAGAACTCCGTCATTTATTAACCGATTTGGACAATTTTTATTTTGTTTGAAAGGGTATACTTCCAGATTGGTCCCATTTAAATTTCAAAAAAAAATACCACCCCTAAGGGTGGAAAAACAACTAATGATGAATTTAACCTACTTCTAATTGTCATATTGACTTGAAACTTTGCAAGGATTTTTATTTCCGTTGATAGTACAGTGGTTCGGTGTTGTTGACCTGATCTGATGGCAAGGCCAGAAGGTGGATAGGTGGAATTCTTCAACGGCTAATAGTAGATACTTTGAGTTTGGGCTTATTTTGTTTGATTTGACAAGCCTAACACGTTAGAATCCTTACTTTGCTACTACTGTCTACACTAAAAAGGGAAAAATAAAAACTTATTAACAAAAAAATAAAAACCGACTTCAAACAAAAGCACTAAAAAGTAAAAAATAACTGATTGGTAGTTTTCATTTACTATACGTACCTAATCAAATATTTTCGAAGTCGGTGTGCTTTGGCTAAGTAATTAAAGCCTACCTATTAAATACATACCTAATCAAATATTTTCGAAATCGGTGCCAGCCCATACAAAGCAAAACACACCGACTTCGAAAATATTTGATTAGGTATGTATAGTAAATGGAAACTACCAATCCGTTATTTTTTACTTTTTAGTGCTTTTGTTTGAAGTCGGTTTTTATTTTTTTGTTATAAAATTTTTGTACGAGGTGAAAGAGTTTTAATATTTTGACTAGCGACTTTCGCTCCCTTAAGGGATGATTTCTGGTGTCCTAAGTCCTTTCCAGGGTTTCAAATTATCTTCTTACCAAATTTCATCTAAATTGGTCAGTAGTTTTGGAGTTTAATCGTTACAAGCATACATAAATATAAATCTTTCCTCTTTACAATATTAGTGTAGATTTGCCTTTTCTGTAATAAAAACTATACTATAGATGTGTATAATTAATTCTTCATACAAATCAATTCAACAGGTAAACAGAGCCATTGGTGAACATAATGATAAATCAGCTCTTAGCCTATACGTCTTCCGTTTCTTGTCCAAACATGGCTTTGAATGAGCGGATGTGACGCGCTACCACTTTTTGCTTTCGAGTCGCCTTGTTTACAGAAATGAGCTCGAGTGTTCATTTTCAGGGTTTTTGTCAACAATTAATGTTTTGATGCTTACTGTATCGTTACAATGTTGATATTGTCCACAAATAAGCTTTAGTTGAAATGGCAATACTTGCCTTTCACTAGATATTGGTCAAGTAATTATCAGTAGTATCACACTGTATACTTGTGCCGCTGGCGCTGCTCAAGAATCGGATATCTATCAACGAAATATGTATCAATAAACTAGAGATCACCCCGTGGTCGAGAATCATCCATACTTCATAGAGTTTTAAAGTTATTGAGGTTTTTTAAAAGTCACATAAGTAACTTTCCTAATAAATGCTATACGATATTACTAAGTATTTCATGTTGAAATATGTACCTATCTTTAAATAGAGATCGCCCTGTGATAGAAATCGTCCAAAATTCGTTGAGTTTTAAAATTATTGAGGTTTTTGTCAAAGTTATACATGTATTACAGTTATACATTGTAAATAGCATACATATTACATAGGTTTAAGGTACTTCTTTAATAAATGCGATACGATGTTACTAGGGCTTCAGACTGCAACAGCTTGACGAATTTGAGTGAAATTTAGTATATAGATAGAATTTGACCTCCAGCAACATATAGGCTAATGTTCTTAACAAAAGATTTTTTAAAGAGAACATTTACTCTCATAGATAAGCACGGACAGACGAACAAAAAACTTTAGCTTTATATTAGTAGGTTTAAAATTATGAAACATATTTAACAGTACAGCTTTTAGAAGCTGATTAATTATATATTAATCATATATAATAGACTACCCGAGCTAAGCCGCGGACAAAAGGAAGTCAGTAAATAGCTTTCTGCAGTACTTCTTCAAATAAACTTTAACTATTATCCATGCTACAGCTCTTACTCCTCCGTACGCGTAACATGTTTTAAAAGCTCTATGAAGTTTTTTTTCACATAGTAGTTCTTAAAAACGATTATGGATTATTTAAAAGATTCAATTTCATTCCACGATTGATACACGTTCGGGTTAAAAATATGTAAAAAACAGTAATAACTATGTAGTAATGTTAGGTACAATACTTTTACATGTACAATGTCATCAATATATCTTCAATGGTATGGGAGTCGTATCATGGGGATTTATATTTTCTGTATATAACGGGTATAATCAGATATGTATGTAGGTAGGTATGTATATAAGCCCATTATTATGTGCACATGTTCTGTAAATATTTTTCTAACAGTAATTGGCCAGAACCTGTACGAAACATACTAATTATAACTTTGTAATTTCCGATTAACATACAATATCTTTGTACGTAACACATAAAATTTATTTTTTAAATAAATTTTATTTAAAAAATATAATTATGTTGACACCATGATTCACGAAATTATTCTTTATTTCTTTTGCTTTCTCTGTAATGCATTTACCACGACTTTGGTGTTTGAACTTGTTCTCAGAATCAATTATTCTCTTTCGACAAAGTTTAATGACTCCAGAACAAAAACTTCGAAACTCTTCTTGAAAATGAAATTACATTTTTTGTTATTTAGTTTTAATATTAAGTATTATTATAATTCAATATATTTATAATTATATACGAGGAATCAGCTAGTTAAGATTGTGTGTAAATAAAAAAAAATGCACCAAGCATTGTTTCAGATTTCATTAGTAAATTAAATATACAAATTCAAATCAAAATAATAACGGTAGAGTACTTAAGTATTGTCTCAAAAGGACATTTGATCATTATTAATTATGAAAACAATGTCTTTAAACAAACTGCTTTCTGCGGTTCGTCATTCCTATTTAATGTAATATTTAATGTAATAAACAGACAGGAAATAGTTACATTTTTGGTTAAAAAGTAGCTATTTCAATATCTCTCATATTAAATACATTAAAAATAGCCTCGTAATTAATTATACTACTTAGTCGATGAACTTGATGAAACTTGTTATTAATGGTCTCCTGAAATAACTCCATAAATTACCTGATTTATGTGTTAATAGGTAAATGCACGTAAATGTTTATAATTCTTATACATTCAATCAATATGGTGTATTGTGTATAATATACTTTGGAAACGTTTTTATATCGACGCTCGTGCTTGTCGTTCGATGAGCTTGCCATCTCATGGATGCTTCTGAGATGGAATGAATAGAGATTTCACCTGCGCTTGCGCAGCACTTGCGTATTTATAATATCTCCCCATAGGCAGTCAGTCCCATTGAGAGTATCTGCCGTGAATGTCAAGAACATTGTTAATTTAATATTAACCCTTAACCACCTGACGTCGGTCTCAGAGACTTTGGTAATTTTGTTTTTCAAATTATTCCATTACTAGGCACGCGACACAACTGTAAGTCCATATACTTTTTTCCCACCCCCACCAGTGCTCACCGTGGGTTCGGCAGCTCCAGACATACGTGAGTTTAAAAATTATAAGTAATTATAATTTGTGTGCGGTCCCTGTGACCGACGTCAGGTAGTTATGTTACTTTTTTAAAGTGTATTTTTTGCTTTAGTATGCTTATAATGGCTGAATCAGATATATCACGATGGCTGAAGGAAGACCAATCAGATCTGGACGACCTGACTGTACCAGAACTTCCAAATGAAGATTGTAGTGACATAGAGGATGTTCCAAAGGATTATATTATTGAAGGCGAGTGTCAGTCCGAATCAGAATTAGAATATGAGGGACCTAAGCCTCAACTTTCTGAAAATGAAAAGAACACCTTGCCACCGATGGAAGATTCATCTTCTGACGATGATATTACACTTGCAAGGCACCGAAACTACTTTGGTAAGAACAGGTTTCATTGGTCAATGATCAAATCCTCCAGTTTCGAGATCAAGAACTATGCAGCTACTAACCTAACTTTAAAGGTATTTTGCATGGAAATATGAAACCCCTGGATTTGTGGAGCTTATTTTTACTGGAGGTAGATTAGTGCAGATAGTACCTAAAACATACAAATGAAGAAATCATCAAATCCTAAAAGTTGATCAAATATCCAGTATTACAGCAAATTAACATTTTGGAAAATTAGACAAACGTAAGACATGTTCCACTTGTGATCCTAAAAAGAAAATCGAAAGAATCCTAATAGAAAAAATCAGATTTCTTTGAATGCAGTCAAAAAATGTGCCTTGATTGTCAGCGCAACTTGTCAAAGTTCGTGGGTTGTGATTTTGTATAAATTGTGCCTCATTTGTGCTTAAAATTATTTCATGTCTTAGATTATATATTGAACATATCGTAAATAAGTAAAACTATAAAGCTATTCTGATATTTCGTACTGAGATCTCAGATTTTCAAAGTTGTTACATTTTTTCCTAAAATTAGTATGTTTGTGATAAATATTGATTTTCTTATATGTTAATACAAACTTTTGCTTAATTTAAAAACTTTTCATGAATAAACATAAAATGAAAATATAGATATAACTTGTATTTATTGTAATAATTTTATGTATGATTATTAAACATGGAAAATACTCGAGCGGTCTTCATGACCGACGGCAGGTGGTGGTGCTACTGAAAAATACGTCAAGTGGCTAAGGGTTAAGTAACCTATAAAATTAATAAACTAAAATTATTAATCTCACTATGTTGGATTTACAAAATATTTATCTACTCATACTAGCGACTCACCCTCGCTCCGCTCGTTCCTTCCTAGATATGTTTTAACGGTTAGTATAGATTTCTCACAGATAAGATGGTAGTAAAATGTATCCTATATGTTACATATATGTCTAGTGCTTTTCTCGTGACAGACAAAAATTCTAAAAACTGTAGATTCCGCCTCTGTATCGATAATAATGACTATTTCAATAAGATTTTCCAAAAAATATTTAATTTACCGATTCAATTTAGTTAGAGTAATTTTATTTAGGTATTCATCAAAATTATTAATCTTACGAGTAGGTACTATGTTGGATTTACAATATATTTATCTACTTATACTATTACCAAAACATGTCAACAACATTATACGTGATTCGTAATGTATCTTTATAAAATTATCGTATCTTGGTAAAATCCCTTACCTAGTACGTGAGCTCCTAACGTATGATCTGTCAGATTTATCTTGAGACTTGACAACAGACCAAAAAATTATTCACATTTACGTATTTATTACATAGGTATAATATTCCATATTCAGTCATATGAATTTACTTTTTTGTCGTGTTTTTAGTCTTTCCGTTTTTATGGATTATTTTTTATTTATCTTTATAATTAGCCAGTTTGTTGGTAAGCAAATAAGTAACATGTTATCTATACATATAATAAAATTCTAAGTCGAATTAAAAATTTACATTATAAAATTTTTTCGAAAATCTTATTGCTATAGTCATTATTATCGATACAGAGGCCGAATTTATTAGTTTTATAGAATTTTTGTCTGTCTGTCTGTCTGTGACCGCATCACGAGAAAACCACTGGACAGATTTTGATGAAATTTTGTAATAGCTGGTTATCCGGGTTAACATATAGGACACTTTTTACTGCGAAAAAATATCTCATCTCTGAGAAATCCACGATTTTTTCTACCTTAAACAAAGGGCTTAAACAAGATGTCATGAATAGTAATCTAAAACAATATAGGTACATACAAGAACGACATAGTCTTCTTCTTCTAGTATATCTATATATACATTGCAGTTATTATACTAAGACAAACGCGCAAACTATATCAATATAACAGAATTAATAAATATTATTTCATTACTGGGGGAAAAGTGAACATATTTATTATTATAAGTCTCTATAACTATAATAAATAAATCAGGCAAGGAAAAGAAAACATGAGTCACTCGTATCGACCTATATTCCTAATAGGTTTCCTACGTTTCTTATACTATGCGGTTTTCCAAACCGGACTACCGGATGCTTCACGACTGACTTTCTATGATTATGGAAAAGGAAAAACAAGATTGTGGTCCCAGTCTTATTTTCAGATTGCGATTTTCTTTACAACGCTTCATTTTTTTTAACTAATTTGGGTGTGGTAACCTTAGACTTTCTTTAGTAATATAATAAATAATAAATACATATATTGGGACATTATCACACAGAACTATCTAGTTCCATGGTAACCTACAAACGAGGCTAGTGTTATGGATACCAGATATTTGATACACTACACATACATACATACATATTATAAATATAAACACCCATGATTGGAGTATATTAAACATTCATGCTCATTACACAAATGAATGCCCCCAGCGGGACTGAAACCTGCGACCGTTGCAAGTAGGGTTACTACAAACTAAGCCAAACGTGTCATCGATAGGGAAACGTGTTGTATAAATATAAGGGGATATTCGTAGGACGTGAGTTTAATTTTGGTGACAAATCGTCTATGACTTTGTAAATCTTTGGATATGCTTTGGATGTTTAGTTGTCAACCAGAGATATCTATCTCTAGATAGTGTGGTTGGGTGTTTGTTAGATGAATGAATTTGTCATGATGACACAGTACCTACTAAAAAAATATAATATGCAAATTCTTATCACATGAAATTATACTAAAAAAAAAATGTCGTTTAAAAAAGAAGGCTCTATATCTTGCTATAGTCGGAATATTTACTATACTAATTCTATTTTCGCTATACACCCTTAAGTATTTATTATACATACATGAGGTTATTGTAAGTCATATGGCGACATAAAATTTTATTGGTAATAGCTATATTAAATATTGATAATATCGTCTTTACACAAAAGCTGTTATCAAAGTTGCGTTTTCAATCTATATTAACTTGACTCATTTATTTATACAAGTGCCATGCTTTGCTTGTCATTTACTTCTATTATCATCACCTGTGGTTTCATCATAGTCATTTTGAAATCGCTTTGTTTTAAATAATGCAGTCAGCTATTGTTTTTATTATCTGAATGTCATCTGTGGATAGTCTCAAAAAATGATCTTTAAATTTATGTAACATTGTAAAACATGATACAAAAAATAAAAATGAGGTTGTCAATTTTATTTCATACAAGATGTTTCGCGTCAAGGTTTTTGTTTTAACAGATCTCTTGTTCTTATCATTTTTTCCTCTATAATTACCCGTTATAGAACTTTAGAATGGCCCAGAAGTTTCGGCAAAATGAAACACTACAATTACAGAACTGCGAGTTTTCCACCAATTTTATTGTGCTTATACTGTTAATGTAAATTTTGTTTGATGGAAAATTATTAATTTATTAAAAATTAGTTTAATTAACATCACATGCTACGCTTCATTTTTAGAAACATTTTTGAATGCCTTTAAAATACTATATTTTAACGATTAACGATAAACAACTTCGAATTATTTTAAATAAATAACAAAAATTATTATTATTTATCTTAATTACTATTTTAATAGCTGTCGCTCAAAGCAATAGATCTAACCCTACACCTGGTTGTGTGATAATAAAGAAAACAACAGGTTGTCAGCGTGGCGTCACTGGGCGCTAAAAGAAGAGAGAGGTACGATATCAAGCCTATTCCATTCATTCCATAGACTATAGACTATCAACGCAGTCAGTGCAGTGCCGCGCCAACCGTCATTGGTAACGCTTGTTCGTGAGTGATTAAATAATAATAAGTGTTTTAAAAAACTTTGGTTCATTTTGTTTTGTTAAGTGAGTGTTGTGAACGCAATTTGAACTTGATTGAGCGTTCGCTTTGAAATCTGGAATGATTAAGCTGGTTTGTTTTATATTTTTTTATACTCATTGTCTTAAAGTTATCTCAATCGTCTTAACTACTAACTTATCGATGCACGATAAGATTGTGCATCAGATTCTTAATTGAGTCAAATATAAACAAGAAATGGGCATGGTACGCATATATTTATATTTACTACTTCTTGAAAGAGAATCGAAATGACCATCAACACCAATGGTCAATTTATTTTAAACTTACTTTACTTTAATTTTTGCTCAGACTTATTTTGTACCTATGTGGACAAGTTAACTTCAAGTAAAATATGAAGTGATGTCACGGCTGACTCAGAAGTTAGAAGCATGTTAAAGTAAGCTTGATATTCAACTTAATGTCTTCATATAATTACAGAATACAAAGCAGTTCTTGGTTTCCTAATGCTATGTATATGGGAAAGCCTTTCACGGATTAATCTCATAAATTCAAATGAGATTGCTTATTTTACATAAACCAAAATGATATTCTTATTAAGTTTCTCTTGACACAAAAATACTAAATAGTAAATACTTGTAAAAAGAGCCTTTTTATATAAAATATATATAGGCCTTAAGCTTTAATTTCTTAAAACTCCTCCAAAACTTAAACAGTATAATATTATATAATTAAATGTAAAAAAAACAGTCTAATTGTAATTAAATATGTACTGAAAATAATGAATTATAATACGATATATTACATTAAATCTAAAGACAGTTAGAAAGAAGACAAGCGGAATTACGAGGAAAAGCTAAAATAAATTCTTGTCAAGATGAAAGTGAATGAATTTTTCTCATGTTGCGCTAAGCAATTTAGCATGCATCATCGGATCTTGATTCGTTTTTATAACTAAAATTCTTCTTATTCTGAAAATATTTACGATTTCATTTTTAATGGTATTTTAATGGCGCTAAAATCACGGTAAAAATATTTACACAAACTAGTTTGGAATTAAATTAACAATGGTAAAAACAGGAACGGTGATTTCTACTCAAATTATACCTATATCTTTGTATACGCCTTTTAACGTTAAATAATCACTACAATTAATTAAAACATAAACAAAGGAGGTTTTATATATTTTTTAAATACACACATAATAGTATACACACAACCCTTTCTTATTCATCGACAATTGTTTTTTTTGTTTTGTTCACTCGTCAGGTAAGCTTGAGCTGTTCAGGTAATTACCATGTGTCATTATAGTTTTTGGCTCTTTGTTCCGTCATGTAGGAATGTTTTGATGGCCTTATAATTGATAATCTCATTTTCTTAATTGTTAAGGAAAATTTCGTCTCGAATAAATAATGAACGGTAATTGATACGAAGTAGTTTTATTAAGTATGCCTTTCACATAATATGTAAGTACAAGAGGGTAATACGTATAGTATAGGCTCTACACAGCTCATACAATAAATAATATATACCTACCAATATTTAATGAAATAAATCTCAATTTCATTTGTTCTATTCACGTTTCTTCGTATAAGTAGTAAGGTAATGTATATTTAACAAAAAAAGAAGAAAACAACTTAACGAAAATTATAAAACTTTTTATTTAAACGCACAAAAAAGTATGTTACTAACAAAATAAGCATGAGAGTATATATAAATAAGGCGGTAAGAGAGCGGAAAGTTAGTGCAAAATCACAAAATTAGCTTTCTTTTGTTCTGAATGGTCCACTTACCCATATGTTATATGCGTGTCTCCTGACTATATATAACGCTACATTAATCATTTATCTTTCTGTAATTTCACTCATCATGTATCAAATTTAGCAGTGCAATTTATCCGACTGTAATAATTTGTAATTTTATGTACGTATTTAACAATAAACGATACCGGTGTTAAGTATTATTAAATACTAGCGACTCACCCTCGCTTCGCTTGAGTTCGTCCCTAGGTACGTTTTAATTTTTTTGAGCGGAACCCTTATTCTATTTCTAAACTAAAAGTAGCCTATGCTACTCTCTATAAAATCAGCTATCTTCCAGTGAAAGTCCTGTCAAAATCAGTCCAGCTGTTACAGAAATTATCCGGAACAAACAGACAGGCAGACGGTCAAAAAATAAACAAATGTGTTTTTCTTATAAACACAGTATATATAATTTTATATGCATTTAGTAAAGCGCTGTTATTTTGACATTACAAACAGACACTTCAATTTTATTTATCTGTATAGATAATTATTTTACCAATAATTTAAAAAATGTGATTTTAATTTACACGCGTAATTTTAGGGTTAAGTTAGTCGATGGTTGTTAATAAATAGTATTAACGATATGGTGATTGATTAGTTTATATGTACCTACATAGAAATCGACATAATATTTCGTCCGAAAAGAAAATTGCTGTTGAAAAACCGCGTATTTCAAACTCTCTCACTGTCTCTGAATAAATGAAGTACATAATATTTCTTTTTTTGGTTTTAAAGGTATGCTTGTTAAAATAAAGCTATTGAAAAATTAACTCATTAAGCATTAACTTTAACTTGGACGAAATGACTTAACTAAATTATTGTTAACGATTTTCTTAATTAAGATTTTAATATTCATTTAGGTTATACATATTACGAGTAGTATACTCTTACATTGCAGTTTTTGTATTTTTTCTCAGAAATGAGATATTTTCCAGCGGTAAAAAGTATCCTATATGTTAACCCGGATAACCAGCTATTACAAAATTTCATCAAAATCCGTCCAGTGGTTTTCTCGTGATGCGGTCACAGACAGACAGACAGACAAAAATTCTAAAAACTATAGATTCGCGACCTCTGTATCGATAATATTGTTTATTTCAATAAGATTTTCCACAAAATATTTATGTACAGATTCGGCTTACTTACTATTTTATTATATGTATAGATTAAAATAATAATTGATTCTAAAAATGATTTGTGAAGTCAATGTCTGTTAAAGTCGAAGAGTAATAATGCATAACTTAATTTATACTTAGGTTGCCTTGAACTTAGTATGTGTACAATGTACATACCTATTGTGAGTTAGTTTTTATCAGTAAGAAACAGATGTTTGTAATATAATAATTGAAATTGCACTTTATAGCTAATAGTTAAGATTGAAAATAGTTCTACACAAAATTTTTGACGCAGTTTACGACTTTTTGCTCACGCCTTTTAGTTAGCGATATTGAGTATGACAAAACTATTCAATTTAATATTTAATTTTATATAGTTATTTATGACTTTACATCTACGTATATTTTAATATAATACGTTTTTAAATGAGGTAGCTATAAAGACTAATAAAATTAAAGAGGTTTTTGTGTAATGTTTTTAGTATTGTTTTACATTCTGTTTATTACATTTTCTTTTATATTGCAGTCATCCACCAATCCACTTACCTTACAAGAAAAATGTAGGACATAAGTATATTCATTTTGCGATTGTAATCATAAGAAAAACAAAACTATAAAAAAGTACATATTACAAAAATATATAAAAAATAAAAACGATCGCAGTCCAATATAGTTTTTAGAATGTTCGTCTATCTGCCTGTCTGTCTAAGAACGAGTCACGAGAAAACCACTAGACAGATTTTGATGAAAGTTGGCATGTTGGTAGCTAGTTATCCGGGTCAACATATAGAATACTTTTTATTGCGGAAAAGTATCTCGTCTCTGAGAAATCTATACTAAACGTTAAAACGTAACATACGAGTATAGTCAGTTATAATAAAAAAGTACCTACGTTGGAAACTTTGACTTGTCAACGCACGATTGCTATAAATAAGCACGGAAGTGATCATCAATCATGTTTGTTATCACCCGAGATGCTATCACCCACTCAATTGTAACAGTAAACAATACCCATTGGTGCAGAGTGTTAGTACTTCGCTTCTTATTATTGATTGTTATTTATATAATAATACTATATACTTTTTGCTCGCGGCTCGATCGTAGTAGCTAAAAAATAGCCAATACATATTTTAATAGGTATAATACGGAAGTATCTATATTCCTAAATAAAGAATCACATTAAATCACAATTTTTTGCATTTATAATTTAAGCGTCAAGAGCTAATGTATTCATAATTATAACTTGTTTCGTTGTAACTAAGATTTTGTAGCTTTTACCTACTGTTTTAGTTAAATGTACCTACATAATATAAAAAATAACCCTCTTTCTGGCGCTGTCGGGTAAAAAAGTATATAATCCTTACCTGGTCAACTAACAGGATGCTGGCTATATTTAGTTATCAATACAATACAAATAGTAAAAAGGTCATTTTAATTAACCAAATATGATATACAGTAAACACAATGAGAGATCTCTTTGCACTTAGTAAACTATTTAGAGTAGGTACTGGCTAGCGGTAATTATGTTTTTCTATCAGATCTTCAGAATATTTAATGCTAAATGAAGCATATGTTATATTTTATATAGTAAATATTTTAGATTATACGAGAGAGTAGGAAGTAGCATCTGATTTCAATTTTAGATTTCTCACATGATTATTTGTTGCGTTTCCTAAATAATGACACTATAAAATTTTAATATGCATCTCTTTCTCTATCTATATATTTTATGGATTTATATTGAATTACATCAAAACTTTCATTTTATTTATACATATCTTTTTTTATTTTTCATTTTTACTAGCAAATTCACCCTCCTCGCTCTGATCGGGGTCGTCCCTAGTTACGTTTTGACGTTTAGTATAAATTTCTCAGAGATGAGATATTTTCCCGCAATAAAATCTTATGTGTTGATCCGGATTACTAGCTGTCATCATACCAAATTTCATCAAAATCCGTCCAGTTGTTTTCTCGTGATGCTTTCCCAGACAGACAGACAAAAATTCTAAAAACTATAAATTCGGCCTCTGTATCGATAGTAATGACTATATATTTCAATAAGATTTTCCAAAAAATATTTTACGTACAGATTCGACTCAGTTAGAATTTTATTAGGTATATATGTGTATAGATGTGTATGTACCGGCAGATTATCATTTTAAATGTTTTTTTTATGAAGATCTTTTGGTGGTTA